TTGCAGTGGCAGCTTTCCGCCGGTCTTGGCAGGTCCAGGGACTACGGATCGTCCGAGGTACGGTAGACCACATCATAGAGTGCGAGTATGCACAGAGCTGGAACTGCAGCCCCGCCGCCGTGAGAAGCCTCACTGGGCAGTCTGTGATGTTCTGGTTTGATCTTTTCCTGCTGACGGCGGTGCCCTCCTCAGCCTGAGTGCTCCGTTCTTCTAGAGTGGAAGGGACATTTATGTGGGTTGGAGAAAAAAGAGAGCAAATGAGTCAGATACTGGTAATTGTCAAGCCCACATTCAATCGAGAACACATGTGTCGAGCATGTTGCAGTGAGAAGTGTCGATGGCGAATGGCCAGAGGCGCTCTACTATCTGGACATTGCGCTGGATTTCAAGCAACTTCGTTTATTCTGGCAGAAGGGCCTTTTTGGCTACCTCGTGCTCAACGTCGCAGGGATGGCACTCCCTCCCGTGTTCACAGCACTGGAGGCGATCCATTTCCTCGATCGGCCCTCGCCAGAGCAGGATCAGCTCAAGAAGATGCTCGCGCCGAAGATGCTGGTGCCAGCCATGCTGCTGGCCATCCTGTCACAAACGCACGTGCTCCTCCTCGCCGCAGCCTCTGCGTTGTCAAGAAGGACCCCTGGGCTGAAGGGAACCGACCAACTTCCTGGTTTCTGCCCTGGGCCAAATTACGCAGATCGAGGAGCTCGAGCTTTCCGGCGCCCAGCTAGACAGCATGAAGCTGTCGGTCCTCGTGTCATGCTTCAGCCTTGGCCTGGGCTTCGCGAGCCGAGACAAGGCCGACTCGGCCGTTGTGCACCTTCCAGGAAAAGTCGGCTGGGGCCCGACCATGGTTGGACTGGTGCTGGCGAGGTCGCTCGAGGTCTTCAGCCGCATTCTGGCCTATAACATTCTGCAAGCATCCCTGCGGGGCTATCCGCTGCTGCAACTCGCTGGCCTTGAAGCAGTTGGACTCGCTTTCCTCGCAGCATGCTTGGCCTTCCCCGACGCCTCCTGGGCCGACGCGGCGGCCCCTCGGCTCGGCCCGGCAGCGCGGTCTAAGCTCCCTAAAGAAAACTCAAGAAATCACGCAAGTTGGAGCAAGCCTTGCTCCCCGCGAGGCCGCCGTGATCGCCCATCCTGGGCAGATCCTGGAGCCGACTTCCCTGGTGAAGTTGCGGCTTCTCGGCGGTCGACTGCGGGTAGAATTCGAGCTGGGGGAGGGTGGGATGCGGAGAGATGCAGAGGCGCTGCGTCGCGAGACGTTCGGTAGCAGTTTTTCCTGTTGGAATCTGCTGCGAGGTCTTCTTTCATTATCCACGCCGTGCTGGTGGCTGCTGCCGGAGGAG